CATTTCCATTTTTTAAAAATAGAATCATATATTTTTCTATATATTAAATCATGCAGCTCTACGTTTTCTATTTTAAAAAGTATTGAACCATGTTTGTCAAAAAAGTTAGAAGTTTGGAAGATATTTATATTTTATTAACTGTGAAATATTTTTATTAAAGTTTCTTCATGTGCCAAAAATAACAGCGTTATTCAAATACTAGTTCTTAATGTAACATCCTGTATATTAATTAGAACAGATTTTGTATAGTTCGGAAAACCAAATGATCAATGCCATGCATTTTGAAATAATTATTGACACACATACATTTACGTTAATAATTTTTAATTCATGGTTTATTTTTTATTTATGGTTTGTTAACGCAATACGAAATACTTTAGAGCAAAGATTTCTTTGTTTGCTCTAATATATTTTTCTCGGGGAAGACAACCGAGGTATTGCTCTCAGTTTTCGATTTTTTCTGCGAAGGCCAGCCTACGGCGGAAAATACTGTTCAGGTCCAAGCGAAAACTGCAAACTCTGCGATCTACCAAAATGTTCCACGCCGGTCGACCTCAGAGCCCAACAGTGTTCCAAACTTGACACTATCGTGCACCACGAGAAAATTCGGTTGAACAACTTTAATACTTGGCTGCCTTACGAATCTGACAAAGAGAACTTGAAGTGCCAATTGATTTGCAGAAGTAAAGAGACAGGGGAGCTGTTTTTTGTGAGAGAAAACGTGATTGACGGTACACCTTGCGCTTATGGATCCACAGACATTTGCATACAGGTGATTTTAACCTTAGAACATTAGAAAGTTATGCATATTATTTTTATCTCGTCTAAGGTATAAGTGATCCAACGAAAGGAAGAGAATTAAGTTCACTTTTAGGAACTTATTACAGGTAAATTAAACGAAAGTTGAAAATGAAATTATAAGTTACGCGTAATTTTATCGCGATAATTGGACTTTGCAAATGAAAACGGTAACATTGACTTTGAATTTTGCTCTTGTAAGTCCCGCGTAATTTCATACGGACAATTTATGCTCGAATCGATCACCGTGTGCAATTCAGCACACAATTTTGAGGAGCGAAATATTATTCGCAGGGCGAGTGCCATAAGCTCGGATGCGACAGTGTCTTTGGATCGACGAAATCGATGGACCTGTGTGGCGTATGCGACGGAGACAATTCCACCTGCGAGAATGTCATCAGCAAATTTCAGCGAAGGCTTCGTCGAGGTCAGTCAAGTCACCGCTCAAATTGAGTTATTAGAAGTGCCGACCAAGTTCTCGTCAAAGTCAGAAAGCTCGGGAGAACGAACACCCCTAATCAGTTTATAGGGCTGGAATGTTGAGAGGAAGAGGGAGAAAAGTGATTAGTTGTTAGCCCAGGCCGCTTCGAGGAATGAGACTCCGGGTCTTCGTTTTTCCTCTAGTTTCGCACCATAGTATAGTTATGATGAGACAACCTATATCTGCAGCTCACAAATTGGTAGAAAATAAATAATCTTTTACAGTTTCGTATGCGTCGTTCTACAGGACGATTCATATAGATGCATAAAGCCATGTATTTTCGATGGATAACGCTTAACCTAAATTCCAAAAATAATTAACGCGTGTTGCTTCATATATATAAGAATGACAATTAATTGTTACTTTTGGTCATTTATCCAATATATGTGCTTGATTGAAGAAATTCATTCAATTGTTTTCTGCGGAAGTGTTATTATAATGTCAATAATTTTGAAAGAAACAATGTGACTGACTCGATACATTTACTATTAAAGTTAGGAAAAGATGAATGCAGAGACAAACAGCTGACGTCATTACGAAAATATTTTTTGGCATGCATTTGTTTGAAAATGCAAGTAAGAAGAACAAGACACCCTGTATATGGTGATCTATGTTACTGTAATATTTAACAATTTCTAATTCATCGTATCAAAAAAGTAGAGGACACTATGTTCTCTACGATAACATTATTTTCACGAACACAACGGTACGCGTGCATCTTGCAGTTTTAATGCTAATTTAAAAAAAGGAAGCTCTCTTTTTTGCTTTAGGCTAAATGCTCTCATTACTCTATCCTTTGTTATAATCGAAGAAAGGTTAGTTTTAAATATTTTAACTTCAATTTTATTGAAATTATTGAATGCGAGATATTTATAATTTCCTTGTTTTTCACCTGAAAATCTGGACAATATTTAAGATGAAATGTTATTAAAAACTAGTCATTTTCCATTCATAACACCCCAATACTTATCTACACGAAATAACGAAAGAATTTGAATTTGTAGAAAATAGAAGGATGGCTTCTATTTAACGAAAATAACTCTGTTGCATATTGTACGCGCAGTTTTGTAGTCTGCGTCGAATCAATCATCTTTGCTCTCCAACATAATTTCCCAACATTAACCAAAAAATGTTCAATATTACTGACACATGCATCGTCCTGTACATGGTGTCGTATTTATCTCAGCCGCATAAAACAGAAATTCCATGTCTTATTTCTTTTGGCATTTGATACGTAGGAAAACTTGTAGTTTAAACAATAATATTATACACTATTCCATTTATTCACTCCTCGATTTAAAATATTTATTGGGGAAATTTTCTTGCAGCATTTTAAAAATGCTTGTTCTTATACTTTGTATATTAATACATTTATTACAAATTTACTTACGGAAATCTTTGCATTTTTACCACAACGCTTATGTTCCAGCAGATGTATTGGCACTGTTTATTTGAAGGCACAAGTTCCTGTTGGATGTTGACCTTTGGAAATGTATTTTTAGAGATTCCGCGTTACACATGCACAGCTGAATCGCGATCAATGAAACACCCAATACAAAACTAAAATACGCCGACACCGTGAATATCAATTGTCAATTTACTTTCTGTGAATTTATTATACATCGAATATACATGCATACATACATACATACATTTTTTTATTATACATCGAGCACTTCAACGAAGTAACATTAAAACACTTGTTTAGACAATAAATGCTATCGTCCCTCGATATGTCGAATCCTTTCGTATGAAAATATTAACAATTGAATTGTGCGCCTGTTCCAGATGTGACCCGAATCGCTATTATACCGCGAGAAGCTCACAATTTGTTCGTGAATATCACGCTATTAGACGGTTCGTATTTCGATGAGGAAAACTTGACTATTGTGGTGGGCGATGGACGGAGAAGGCGGAACGTGCTGGAAAATTTAACTTCCCGCAAGCGGGATTTAACGATTCTGCAAGGCGCTGCGTATCGAATTCGAAAGCACGACAATAACACCTACTTCGTCACGGCGCATGGTGCTGCTTTCGAAGACGTCGTGATTTTAGTAAGATATATTTCTTCGTATGCATTGCATGTGTTGAGTGACTTTGTATTCATTTATACTCTTTTGTATTTTCGTCAAGTTTTAAGAAAGAATTAATTCATTTTATTTATCGAATCAGCATTAATCAAATGCGTTGATTAGCACTTATATGATAGAACCAGACAATTTTTGTTTCTTATACGTCTTCGTTTGCTTTCTTTCAAAGACTTTGATAACAGTGAAATCAAATTTTGTTTCAATTTAAAAGAAATTGATAACATTCGTATCTAGTAGATCTGGGAATATTTAGTAAATCTCAGTTGTTGTTATAGTGCAAGTGGTAAATATTAATTTTAAAAAAATGAGGCGTGGATTGTTAAAAACTATTGAGGAAATTCGAACATGAATGTTAGAATTTGAGAATTCGCAACTGAAATTTGAATACTTCGAATGGCACGTGATTTAGAAATGGAGTTCTCTTAAATTTTATATTGTATTATTCGTGTTCGAACAGATTGTGGTGTCAGAGAGCATCATAGAGCAAGGAATCTCTGTGGCAGTCTCCCTGCAATATTTTTTAAATCGAGACGACAGGAACGCGAAGGACAGATACGTTTGGCTATTCGGCGGTTGGAGCTTTTGTTCGGCAAGCTGTGGCGGTGGAACACGTCAGAAGATGATAGTCTGCAAGGATGATGAAACTGGTAGAATAGTGTCACGAAGGAAATGTCCATTGACCACGAAACCGAGTCAAGAGATAGAGAAATGCAATACTTTCAGGTATGAAAGCATTTAGGATCTTCTTTTCTATAAATTCCTTGTTTTTTTTTCTAGAGACCAAAAATGATAGTTATGTCATAAATTTGATAAGAAAAAACCACTGATAGCACATTGATTTTTGTTCACTGTGACGTCGCCCCTTTTCCGCTAGTAGTAAAACGCGGGTAGAAGCGACTCCGGGATTCTAAGGCCTTTCGAGTGTCGATCTGAGTGAGAGTAAAACTCTCGACAGTTGCTCTGTAGTCTCGTACCTACGGGACCCGCTGGGCCTCTTACCCTTCCGCGTCTTGCCGAGCTGTGCTGCGGAGTCTCGAGGCTCAAGTCGTACTAGAGCCACTGTCAGACAGCTACAGTGGCCCACAAAAGTGTTTGTACACCTTCTAAAACGTAATAACTTTTTCAAAACCCAATTAAATGATTTGAATTCTTCTAGATGATAGAAGGATTAGTTTACTGCACAATAACTAAAATGCCTTTCTTTAATTTTGCTATTACTTGGGATAACAACAGAAATAAGAAACTCTCGTTTTTTAACTTTTTCATCAGAACCTATAACAAGAATTTAAAAAATGCCTTTCGTAGACCTGGGTAACTTATATCGGTTAACCCATAGTCGAGCTACAGGCTTTGAAAGATTTAAAAAACTGCAGATTTTTTCCAGTTTTTGGTTAAAATCGTAATAAAACTGCGATTTTTGCCATCTTTAATTTGTTGTAACTCGTAACAACGTCAATTGATTTCAAAAAAATGTTCAGCATGCATAGTTATCAAGATCTACGAGTGGCATTTTTTAAATTTCCGTTATAGACTCAAATAAAAAAGTTAAAAACGAGAGTTTTTATTTTTTTTTGTCATTCCAAGTCATAGCAAAATTTGAAAAGAACATGTTGGCCATCGTCTAGTAGACTAGTCCTGCTATCATCTAAAGAAAATTCAAGTCACTTAGTCCCGGTTTAAAAAAGTTATTGCGGTTTGAAAGGTATACGAGCACTTTTGTGGGCCACTGTATTCTCACAATACGAAACCAATTCGAGTTGCGACGGTACAGCAACGCGGTACCTTACAAGAAATCGTCACGAGACGAGAGATCGTAAGACACAGGTGTTCAGCGTAATTACAATCCGACTGCTGAATTAGTTATTGACGCGAGACGAAACAGTCGTATAACAGTCGTCCGGAAGATAGACGATGCATCCGCCAACGTTTCAAAAATTCCCGAGATCTTCGAAATTTATCGGAATGACATTGGTCGCGAAACAGATAGGAATTCTTGGAGCTCGCCAAAATTTACGAAATTGACGGTCGTTGCAATTCTTCTCGCAACAGAGTATCCCTGGGGAAAACTTACGAACGTTGCGATACGCGGCGTGAAATCTCATCAAACGTTTTCCACGTAGAAACGGAACGGCAGTGCAAGGCGAGAAGTGCCTCGGTGTTCACGAAACTAAAAATGTTCCACTGAATCTAATTCGCACACACACGTATGCTTTCGAGCCACTTCGCGAAAATAAATGAAGTCCAACTTACCGCTCCTCGATCGTAGATGGTCCCCGGAATTGATGGGGCGGAATGACTCTTAGGACACGACGTACAATGTGGCGCTTATATGAGCATCCAGGACAAAAATCATAACTTCTAAGCTAATCAATTTTCGCGGCCAAAATGCCTTGATAACTTATTAAAGAAAGTACAAAGATGCATCGATCTGCATAAAAAATTATACGATTTCATAAAAAAGTTCTTGTTTATTTTTTATCGAATAATCAAATCTCATGTTTCTATAAGTGAATTATTATACAAGCGAAAAATGAGGGATTTCTGAGATCATTTGAAGTAACTTTTTCCTTAGCGAAAATGCAATCCGTGACTTCGTTGATGAGTTATCAACGAAAAATAGCGACCAATAAGAGACACGAGATCAGCTGGCGCGAAGCGGCCAAGCTAACGAGCGGTCGAAGCCCAGTTCCGCTCATTGACTCGGCCGCCTCCTGCCAGTTAATTTCTCCTCTCATTGGTCATTGTATTTCGTTGATAACTCGTAAACGAAGCCGCGGATTCCATTTTCGCTAAGGAAAAAGTTACTTCAAATGACCTTGAGAAACCCTCATTTTCCGCTTGAACAATAATTTTGGGACACCCTGTATATTGTTGGCAACTTTTCGCAAGACAATTCTCATAGTATCAAAATGTGCTATCTGACGAATATGTCGAAACAAGAGTCCCAGAATATTTTGAGCCGTTTTTTTTTAAACTTATTTAATATGTACGAAAATAAAACGCACGTAATTATTTCATTTCGTGTTAATTATTATATTGCATATAAGCATTTCGAAATTGCTGTCGGCGAACTTACTTGAAATTAATCTTCTGCTCAATTTTTTAAAATATTCTGTCGCTAAATATGATTATTTAGACATTTTAACACATCATACACATAGCTTTGAATAGATACGAAGCAGTAAAATTTTGTTAAATTTTGTCCATTGATGGCCACAGTGTGCACGACACTTCGCGATTTCAATTTTCATTCACGCGCACTACGGTAGTTCGATCGACAGTAATCCTTCGCGGTTTTCGGCAACGACGGGAGCCGGCTCTTCGTACCTCCCACCCAACTCGTAATCGGGACTTAGCCCCTATCGGCCTAAAACACAGACACGTGGCACGTGATACGAGATTCTGCAGGACCGCCTCACGGATGGCCGCTGGCCCGAGACCAATTCCTATGCTCTCGTAATTGCGGTTGCACCTCAGCGACCGGGGGTGTCTTCGGCATCTTCACGGCACCTTCACACCACCCACGCTCGACGAACTCCTTTTTTGACGAGATGAGACGACAACAGGACTTAGGAATTAGGTATTCCTCGGAACTCCGATAGTGAGAGGGATTGTAGGCCCTATTCATCTCTGGGTTAGTCGATCCGTGTGTGGGACCATCCTTTTCTCTCACTTGCGTGTGCAGGATTCTTCGGGGTGGATAGCAAGTTAGAGAAAGATCCTAATAATGTCTGCAGCCAAAGGTTGCCATACAGAAGAGACTAGATGAATACGTGGCATGCTCCTGAAATCTCAGCCAGGCTCGGCGCGCGGTACACGAAATAGAAAAATGCTCTGTCTAACAGAATTTTCCTCGGGGAGTGCTCTCGCGTCGACGAAGTGCCTGTGCGGCGCCAGGGACGGCGGTATATTTCACTGTAATCGCGGTTCTTCCGCCGTTTACAACGGAGAAGTGATGTCGCAATTTTGCGTCACATAAAGGGTAGTCGTCATTAAATTCTGGAGGAAATTTTAAAAACTGCAATGATTTAAAAAAAAAAAGTTTTTTGTGTTGTAAATAATATGCTTTGAATAAAATTCTAATCGTGAATGATGCTTATTCGTAACCAATATATAATTTTGATTATCCGTAATGATCATACGTAACCAAAAACTACTTCCGTCGTTTACAATGATTATCGGTGATAAACAAAATTCTAGTCATTTGTAACCATTAATTAGTAATCAAAATCATTTTAAGTAAAAATTTAATGCTTCTACTTCAATTTTTTCTCATTTTGTTTCAAACGGTCATGGTCACTGGTTTTCTCCTACACAGCAGATCTTTGAAATCATGTTTAAGAATTTATAGGACATTACTGGACCAATGAAAAAATATGTCGATTTATTAAGTATTTTATGATTAGGGGATAATAAAAATTAATAAACCATTTTGTCTCTCTAATCAACTTTGTGAGAGGAAATAAAAACTAGCACTATTAAAGTACAGTAGAACTTTGATTATCTGAATGTCCGTTATCCGAATTCTCTCTTATATGAACTCTATTATTAAGACGCTGAATTTGCTGAACATGTTTTTATTGTAAACAGTTCATTGTACAAATCAGAAAGGATTTTATTTAGTATTATAAACGGTTACAACATTGTAATTACTGGTCTTTATTAGACTCTGCGGATCTTATACATTTTAAACAACACTGGCTACATCAAAAACAAAATTTGTAAAGACATGAGAAGAATCTGAGAATATTTTCATACTATCTACAATTCACTAAAATTATTAAAAGAGGAAAGATTCTCATAATCAACTTAGACAATTTTTGTTTTACATAACAATCTGCAGTCTACATATTACCTCGAATCGATCTTTTCTATAGAATTTCCTTTTAAAAAAATCACTGTCCGATCAAAAGAAGCGCGCTCAAGATTGAAAAACGTTGTTACAGTTGCAGCTTCAAGTGGCTACCAGGACCATGGGAGGACTGTTCACACGTTTGCGGCAGTTTCGGTGTCCAACTGCGCCAACTGTACTGCGTTCATTCCGATTTCAATGGCACCGAGGTAACCAAGGATAACGAGCTGGAGGTTTACCAAACGATGGTGCAACCGTCCATTTGTGGTCCCACGCCGATAAAGACTCGGGAATGTAACAGAATTCCGTGTCCAGGGCGATGGATTTTCACGGACTGGTCCTCGGTGAGAGAAAGTTCAATGTCCCGAAGATCGTTCGCACGCTTGCGGTCGCCATAGGCGAGCCGTTTAGCTATTAACCCTCGGCTGGCGGACTCGGGGTCCATTTGGAACCATGTTTAAAAACAGTCGAACGTCGCCAAACGTTTTGAGTCAACAACTTCTTACTCGCGCGTTTCAACCAGGGATTCTAACTATAAATACCTATGACCCAAACCCGGTTATAAAGATCCGAAATCAATCATGGTTACGATCCCCGTTTTAGAGCTTTCCGACCATAATTCGCACTTGGTAATCGGCTATTAATTCTACATGGGTCGCAAGGGTTATTAAGAAGCGAATCTGCTACGGGTCACGTTCTTAATCTCTGGTTTCAACTGGTTACAAAATAATAAACTATAGTATTACTGCATAATTGTGGCACAATTAAATAGAAAGACCGTACTATAAACGCAACTTATTCTCCTTATTCTGAGAGGAGGAACTCGTGTCACGTCCACTCCCAACGAAGTCCGTTAACTGACTTCGCGTTGTACCGATTACAACGTTATTACCAAAGGCGCTGCAACCAAGATCATTTCACTTAATGCATCGATATCGTAAGCGCTATTGACAGCCTTGACCATGAAACAGTAAGTAGGTGAAATGGGTCCGACTGGATCTTGAGTCCGCCGTACGGTCGGTTGCCGGACGGTGCGCCGAGCGAGGGTTAATTAACATGGTCACACAGCTCGTGTCTCTATGCTTTCGTAGTGCTCGAAGAGCAACAGGAAAGGTATACAATCGCGAATAGCCAGGTGCGTTGCTCCGGAGAACGAAACGCTCTACAGCTGCGACGGAGATAAGGTGAAGACAGAAGTGCGCGTCTGCACCGCCCACGCGACCAAAGCCATCCAGCTTCCAGTTCGATGCTGGAGAGACAAGAATCGATTTTGTTCCATACCGAGCTTGAAACGCTACTGCAACGTCCCGGCGTTCAGGAGGAAGTGCTGCAGGACTTGCGAAACCAACGGCCATAGGCTGGATCCGCTAGAAGACACTGATCAAGACTAGTTCGGACGTATTTTCTATAGAATGTCTATCATCGATGCGAACATGTTGCTACCGATTTTAGATTTAAGTTCACTGGGCCACGGTTTCAGTACTCTTTGTATTTAGATCGTATTTATTTAAATAAACGAAGTCAATGATGCACCGATCTATTTCTTGGGGACTTTTAAATTTCGGGATGAAGTGGGATCTTCCTGATGAATTGGATCGGAAATATTATTTTTCAATTCTTTTCGGTTAGATTTATCTGCGACGTTGGTTTCTCACTATTGCCAAAGTGTGTAGAAAAAAAGTGATGTATTGATCAAAAGACTGTGACGAATGTTCTATTAACAGATCTTTTTCTTTTATTGGACCTGGTAATTGTTTTTACTTTGATTAAGATATTGATTAAGTTTTGTTTTTATTTTGGATAGTTCTGTTACAATTCTCCCTTTTCGTATAGATGTTTTAAATTATTGCGGTTCTCTTCGAAACTTTTGGGAAGATTTACCTGACACGGCAGAATTGTGTATAATACCAATTTATTCGTTGAAAAAATATGCGGTAGAGATGTTTATATCTCTGTTGCTTATGTCTTAGCAGAAACAAAATAATCGTATTCTCATGCCATTACATTATCGATAAAGCTAACAAAATTGTCTGTTTGTTAGTAGTAATTACTTTAATTAGAAACAGGCTTCCATGGGTTCGTTAATAAGAAAGCAGAGGCTTATTAAAATTTTCTTTATTCCTTTTTTAAGAGATTCACAAATCGGTTCACTCTGTGCCTAGAATTCTGAAACACACCAGCATAGACATGGGTATTCGATCCAAAATTATAGTTAAAATGATTATTAGCCGCAATTCGTTGAATTAATGCCCTCGCTACGTGTTCGTTTTCATTTCTCATTTCATTATCATTTTTGTTGCTCTACAAAGTTACGATATTAGTAAGTATTGTCTGTTTTCCGAGTGGATCCACATTAGTTTCATTCCTAGTCATGAGAATAGGCTGTCGGTGTATCGTCCTGGCGAAACGTTTATAATTTTCGAAAAATTGTCGATGCAACGCAATCTTTCCGATGACACTATGATATATAATTGCGATATCGGCGAAAGTCTTAAACGTAGTCTGATTATGTTGTGCACTTTAACACGTGCAATTAGGTAATTACGTCGTTAATGATATTTATAGTAATAGTTTTCTATTAACATTGTAACTATATCGTATGTATATGTAAACCTTCTATACATTATATAATTCATATATAACTCTGGGTACAAATAATCTTTACAAAAATATTAATTTGGGAAGGCAAACTTTCAATTAGAAATTCCTTACCGATACTGATGAATATAACAATAGCATGGCTGTTTTTGTCTACGATACCAAACACAGAAGGAAACGCGTTCCCCGAACTATTCGCTCCTCTATTCGTCTAAGAAAAATCTGGATCCGTACCAATCTCGATAAAACATTTCTCGTCCTATATTACAATTAAAAGAAGACCAATGTTCTAGAATCATCCACGGAAGTTTTAAACCTCAAGCGTCCACAGGTTGAAGTACCATACCTTTGAACAGTTGTTCCACGAATTACTTAACGACTCGATTCCTTTAATTACCATCAATCGCCGAATATTACTCGTTTCTGTTTTTTTTTCTTTTTTCTTGTTTTTTTTTTTCTTTTAATTCCGATATATCGTACAACGTCCGCCAGACTTCGCCCTCGTGAATGGTATAATAAATAACTATATAATCGTTATCATACACTACTTACACATTAGGTAACTTTACGTTAAGGTTTTTGGTAAAATCGACGACAATCGTTGCCGGTCGGCAACATGCCGACGTCGTGATTGGTTAGAAGGAAGACTGTTTCTTTGTCCCTTGTCGTCGACGCGTGAACGATGAAGACTCGTCTATACTAACGATTTAGTGCTTTGGTAGAAGTAACTTTTAGTTCGATAATCGCGGCTCGATGTCCTTCCTCACAATCTCTCCACGTAGTTGCCCGGGAAAGTTCCGAAGTAACCGGTCCTCTGGCTTGAGCCGACGTACCAACCGTCGTCGCACTTTTCCATCACGTACACCGTGTCTCCCTCCTTCAATTCGAGTTCGTCCTCGTTTTGAGGTCTGTAAGGATAGAGGGCTCGATATCTGAAATCACAAGCGCATCATTCAAGTAAATGTTGATATGCTTGATTAATAAATTGACGAGAAATGAATCATTTGTCGAATTATTCACAAATGATTTTTTAATTATATAAACTTAATTTGTAATTTGTTATTTATTGTTTAAAATAAAATTTGCCAACTTTTTTTTATACAGTCCGCCTTTCCGTAGAAAAGAGCTGTACACTCTATTATGATAATAATTGGTTTATTTAATCGATAAGAGACAAGTCTCTATGTCATATTAAGAAATAAGTAATCAAAATGAAAAAATAAAGTGACGATAATGGAGTCAATAATAGAGAACAGTACAATAACAAGATCGTAAAAACTAATGATAATAATTCAATCTGATAAATAATTCTACAAAATATAAATATTTATACAAAATAATTCAAAATATTACCCTTTTAAAAGGGTAAACAATATAACAAGCGCAACTTAATTTTTATTGTTATATTTAAAAAATATTACAATAATTTAAAATAATAAACAATATTTTTATAAATAATAACTTCTGGATTCTAAACGGAACCTACTAAAAACTAGAGAGCAGATGGAGAACAATTATAGAAGAGAATAATCGAATATTGATTGAAAGAATTAGTTCAAAAGTTGACGTTTCTCGGCGAACTGCAAATCAAGAAGTGAGATTGTTTATGAAACCGTCTAGAATTTTCTCAGGATGAAAAAAGAAAGTACTTCCACTGTTACGACTTTCCCCATTTGAACTGGCATAAGCCGATATTGCGAGAACTCTTGTGGGTACGACTCCTCTTATAAAGTCTCACTCTTAACGGTGGACTTCCACATTCTGTTTTATGGTTTTTGCTCTCGATATACCTTTCTGGCTATGCTCGTGGGAGACTCGGTTCAGGGTATACTTAAAGGTAACAGCTCAATGAAATAGTAAAGTCAGCGAGTCGGTACGAAAAGGTTTGCGACGAAGAAATAAGAAAATGTATTCATAGCAGAAGTGAAGTAATACTTCGTTCGGAACTGTATAAAGTAACGCCTCAGCATAATTTCACTTTTAGAACAATTTTGAAAATGTTTAGCTCGTATAATTTAAAGAGTCTATGATTACAGGTTCACGTTTACCGTTCTACTGAAACGTGCCAATCATTCGTGTTTCATTAAAACATAGTTAATTCGCGATCTTCTGCGATAATTGTAAATTAAAACTTATGGAATCCATATTTATGAAAAGTTCGATCACTCGTTTTAGTAAGAATTAAAGTAACTCCTTCGGCAAACAAATTAAAGCTTGAACATCCATGTAATTAACCCATCGAGTTGAATAAAGACGATGCGATAATAATTATAAGCGCGTATTCCACAATGTTTTTATTTCCTCTTTTCATAAAAATCGTAATGCGTATTCATTTGAGTTTTCAAACATAAATAATATTACTGTGCAAACGCTATAATCTTCATGTTTCGTAATTATTTAACAAGGAAGATATACTGTTGTATGATGCAACGTAGCTTAATTAATGTTATATGTTTGGATTATAATATAATCCAATTAAAATTGTTCTCGTTTAATTAAAAGTGTTTTCTTTTATCTACAACTTCCTCGTCGCTTGTAATTGAAAAGAGAAAATCGTTTACGTGCTGAACGGAAAATTTGCTTTTATGTACCAATAAATTGCACATTATTAATAATGTGTTTTTTAAATGATAACTTACGGTATCTGCTCAGAGTGTGTGTTGATATGCAATGTTTCGTTGAGTTGCGTGACATGCAATTTACTCCCTCCCATACGTGGCTGAAAATAGTACGGAACGAAATATAACATGAATTATTAATAGTTTAAAGACTTTGTTAATTGTCAGTTAAATTTGATATGCGTATTAGATAGATTTGGCTAATTGATTTATGCTTCTACGTTTTTTTTTACAAACGATCTATAGGGTAATTCATATAATTAGAATGATATATACACCCTCTTCCAAAAGTATCGGGACACGTACTTAATAGTATAAATTGTAATTTTTCATTCCGTTTAGGTAATGTATCTGAGTTTTATGTGTTCTAAGTATTTATCACTTATGCAATTAGTGTCATACTACAAAATGCATGAAACCAAATACTATTAGAAATAATAGAAATGTTATAAATGTTAATAAATGTTAATAAATATTTAATTTTCTTTTGTAAAATCAATATTGTTTTTATTATACCGTAAAATATATATATTTGGTTCCACGCATTTTATAGTATTTTCCATATAAAAACACAATGAATGGATAAGTATATGTACTTGTTAATAATTAATTCAGAAATAAATTTATAATAACAATTTTTTGTATCGGTTTTTCAAATTTATTTAATTTTCTATAAGCGTTCAAGTACTTTTGTAGAGGATGTATATTAATTGGAGAAAAAGTGAATAAGTAAGAAATGTAGAGAAAATTACATGTAAAACTCCATCGGATGTATGGATCATTAGAGTTGGAAAATTAGATCAATAACTTACCAGTGAATTGTAATGGGGCTGGGTTGTGTTTATATTAACCGGTATGGACGGCATGTAATGATGAGGTCCCATACTCATTTTTCCTCCGGCTGATCCATTTGCTAAGAGGCTGTGCGCCGCTGGAGAAGCAACTGGCTTGCTCTGTGTCGGTGTTTCTGTAATTAATTGATTATTAGTTGGTATGCAGTTGCTTACTCAAATATCATTCAAAGAAGTCAATATTCGTCGAAAATAATTTTACTAAATCAAGCATAAAATCAATTAGAACGTTAAGTTACTGATTTATGAAAATCTGGATTGGTACCTGATCTGAGACCTGGCTCTGTTAGAACTTCCACGTAAGATATAGGAAATATCCCTTTTCGAGTTCCAATTCGTCCCTCGTACCAGTTTTCGTCGACTCTTCTTGTCAAGACGACGATTTCACCTACCAAATAATATTCACGTTTCGTTTGAGTCGTTTAAAATTACACGTTTTCAACGCCATTTGAAATCACGGAGAGTTTATTCGATTCAAAATAATTGCGAGCGCATATAGTTGTGTAAATTTTATGTTTGCATCGATGCTACAGTAAAAACAGTTTTAATGAATAGTAAAACAGCTTGATCAAATCAATATTCGATAACTTTTTCCATTTGTTTCACAACTCAATATTCGATAACTTTTTCCATTTGTTTCACAACTCAATATCGATTTTTCATTGACGCTGTGAACGTAACAGTTTTTAAAGTAATCGCGTCTGAGATTTTAAAGTTTTTTTTTATTTCCTATAAAAATATGCATTTGCATAAACTTCACTTAAAGATTCTTCACTTAAAGTTGAATCACCTAAACTACCTATTCTTAAATAATGACATGCTTAACTTCAGTAACGCGAATGTTTGAAACATTATGGTTTACCTTTAGCGAGCGACAGTTCGAGATTCGTCTGAGCAACGAAATTGAACTTAGCGCGTGCCTGTCCCTCGTAGGGTTTCTTTGGCGTGGTTCGCATGCCATCATATGGTAAAATCTATAACACACGTGAAAAGCTATTTATTTTCGAATACGTCGTGTACACGTAAAATTGTAAGGATTCAACCGAAGGGGATAGGAAGTCTATTTCCAGCGTCGCTTGCTGTGTCTTATACTCGGAAGCTTAGAATTCTAACGAATGATTTCAACTAAACCTTTGTCCCGTGGAAAACTTTGTTGGCGAACAAGAAATCAGGTAATTAACAACCGGCTCGGAGCAGTTATCGATCAATATGCAAATTGGTAGTTACAAAACAGTAAACGTGGAGAAACGTAAGGAAACGGCGTGTAATTCAGTTAGCAGTGTTACCTCAACATAATTTGACGGAAACAATCCGATCATGGCATTATGTTCTCCTTCGTACCAGTTCTTGTCTACCTGGCGACGCACAAATATTATGTCACCGCGACGGAAATTCAATTCTCTCGAAGATTGCCCGATAAAGTTGTAAAGTGCTCTCGCTACGAGTCGCGGTTCCGGTGTTTGCTCCTGGGATCTGCTTCTGTGGCTGAGATCGTCAACAAAGTCGTCGTAACGGTTCAGTGGAATCGGTGACTTCTGGGATGGTCTGAAATCGATAATTTTAGGCTTAGAGAAACAATAAACGTAATGCGGATCACCTAAAACGCTGTAAAACGCTTAAAAATCACTCTTTTTGATTATTCAAACGCCAAAATTACCGGCTCAACCTTCTTTTATCGAATACCGCGAGAAAAATCCAAGCTAAACGTTTTTAAACGAAAATAAACACGAAAACAGCAAAAAACACTGCCAAAAGTTCGAAGAAAAAGTTGAAACAAAACTTTTTCCGTGCGAGACCACCCTAATCTCGTAGGAAGACGATCAAGCCAAACATCTTCAATCGAAAAAAATAATGGAAATAAACAAAAGTGCCTTGACAGACCGAGTATCGTATCTAAAACGGTGAGAAACGTCGAAATCCGGCGCAAGTCATATAAAACGCTGTAAAATGTTTAAAAATCATACTTTTTGAAAGTTAAAAAAATTTGTTACATATTAATTTTAAGCGAACAGCGTATTGATTACCGAGAACTGTCGTGTGTACATATGTGGACGTATAGAATGTAACAACTCGGGATCAGGGTCAACGCTTAGATAGAATCGTAATGTCATGAACAGTTACGAGAGTATTGAGTCACAGTGATGGATTTTATGCATTCGTTATTTTCACAATTATCTGACTTGCATTTACAAATATGTACGCTACAATTAAGTCTTGCATTAATTAAAGCCTACGACCCCTAACAGAGATTAATTTCGACTCGACTCTACTTCCTCTTGTGCTCGCACAGGTATGTGCAATCTGGTGATATCAAATTGTATTTCTTCTCGACATTGTAAAAAGAGTTGCTACATACAATGGACCAACTTTCTATAAGAGCATCGATATTTTTTGACAAAAGCTTTATACTATAAATTGCCATCGTCTGAAATAGAGATTACAATGAGTACGAAATTTGCATAAGAACGAAAATAATCATTGCAAAAAGAAAACAAATTATATATTTGGACTCGAATGATTTCAAAATTATTCGCATGATCTACGAAGAAATGAAGCTTCAGTCATGAACACAATTATCGGTGATGAAAGCTCGATGTGATGGACCGACTATTGTTACTTTTCTAAAATACCAATTCACAAAATTTCGATCAGGATGAACAAAGTCTGTTTAATTTTCTTTACCGTAGAAAATTGTGAAAAAAATGCAATCGATAAATTCTTATGAAAATTTGCCTACAGTCATACACAGTACAAGATATAAAATCATTATATTCAATTTGTAAGAAAATTAAATCGTTCTTTTGCAAGTTCGTGATATTGGTTCTTTAATCCCACGAGTATTTTCCTCTATATGGATCACTCAACAGTTTTATTCTCTCACGCGGTTTCGTGTTTAGTAAATTCGATACGTTTCAAAAATAGTAAATAAGTTAACTCTTATAATTTCTTTAAACTAAGGAATCATTTTTGCTCACTTGTTCACTATCATTGGAAAACCATATCCGCACAGATCAATACGTTAAGTTTTACGATCTGCTGACTGTCGTGAAAGCGTACAAAAACTAAGTTGCATACGTTTCAGTTATTTTGCTCATTTTTAAGGAATCCAAGGAGACAATGCTCGATGTCAGCTTGACAGTCGTCCCTATTCCGCGGCAGTGATACGATCCACGAATCAGACAAATAAGCGGATGACAAGTGACAGTACTTACATGAAGTTGTCAGTGTGCCGTCGTGAATCAATATCGTGCAGTTCTTGGAGATACTTGCGACGACGTTCTTCTTGATACACGCGTCGCATATTCTCTGCACTCCGGCGAGTGAGCTCTTCCTCGCTCAATGGCTCTTTCGCCTCTGTACGCACTGGCGAACGGTAGTGAATCGTCACCTCGCCCTCCACGTAACGCCTCGGTGATTCTGCGACAGTGAACCACCGTTATTACTCTTTGTTTTCAATTAATCGATATTAACCAGACAACAAACTTCCATTCATCGCTACCACCACCGCGCCGCGGCGATCACGATCTCGCATTTTCCTTGAAGTAAGTTAAATTTATTTTAAAAGTGTTACTGTACGACTCTTTAGTCAAAAACCACTCAATTTTCCAGCGAAATTTGCAAACATTATTTCTGTTCATCAAAGACTTTAGACTGATTAATCATTGCAAACTAAAAATAGTAATTAATGCAAAGAAGTGATACTCGATTAAGCAAGAATTTTATTACTATTGGCTTTTTTTTATGCGTTTATGACATGTGCAGACTATTGTCTTCGTTTTACAATCAGTAATCTTTTAGTTGGCGAAGGAAATTTTTGTAAAATCATGTATGAAAATTAGAATTTGCATAAATATCGGCAGTGCCATTATTACATATTATAACTGAGGGTCAGCATTTTAACATTTCGTCTTGTCATCTAATACATTTGTTTGTAACATTCGATTTTCATTAACTATATTTCAATTACATTTTTAGGGATTCATCTATGGAAAGTGTAAAAGCAACGATTGTATAATGTTTAATAATGATAAAGATCACCATACCAAATACAACAAACAAAGGTTTAATTTTCAACGACTTCGGCAACGATTGTCATCAATTAATTGATTAGTTCTTACTCCTCGAAAATTTTTGCATTATTATTGACTTAGGTTACTCCATTTCTTATTCGAAAGATCTTTGCTTTGTATTATGTCATAATTTCATACCTCTTTTTGTAGCCTTTAAGCAAAAGCATCGAACGTAACTTTAAAGAATTTAAAAAAGAGTTTCAGTCTTTATTTTCAAAATAGTTGATTGGAAGTTCGTCAGCCACGTTTAATATTGTTTTCTTGCTAAAATTCACACGAAAATTGTAGTAAATCATTCAAAATTAACGTAACGAGATTATTTGCTAACTCTATTCAGTGTTAATTATGAATTAAGATTTAAATTTGTAATTATTTATCACTACGACTCTGAAATCCCATGCCCTGTAAGATAACACTCGCGAAACGAGAGACGTGTATCTGCATATCGTGTATCGTGTCCCAGCTTATCTAGAATACTGATCTACATGCACGTGGGTATACGCTAATTATTTAAATTTCGTATAATATACTTGTCCTCGTGCTACGATATTAGAAAAATAATCAAATATAGGCTGATTTCTAATAGAAATTATAATTAATTAATGGTAAACTTAGCAGGATATTAACATTGAATTTTTAACTTCAGAAACAGTTTAGAAAAGGAGAAGAATTACTGATTATTAATGTAAAGGTCATTTTTTACTGTCAAGCACTTGCAAATGCATAAATATTTGTATTCGAACATGCGCTTGAATTTTATGAATATTCATTAAAACGTTATCGAAACGCTATTAGCTTAATATGTACAGAACTATACATATATTAAATTAAAAAGTAAACGCAACACCGTGAAATGCTAATTATAAGATGCGATCAGAGTATAATTAATATATCACCACTTTACATTTAATCGTCATTGCTTCGAAATATGCAATTAAAACTAATTGTTCAATCACGCTTTTTACTCTATAACATCATTACAAGCTAAACTTAGGTTTCTTTTTTTATCCTCATCAAAGGAATTCAAAGATATTGTCGAGTTACGGAAAATATTATTAACTAATTATAACTACATAGAGTTCCTCCATAAATCAAAGAAAACGGGATTACATTTTCCGTAATAAATTTTTCACGATCCTGTAGAGCTCGTAACTGAACTTCCGTAAATTATTTCACTAATAATTAATTCAATTAATTCGTACAGACGGAGCCTTTAAATTGCTTCCGCACACTCACAGAGTGTAACTAATTCCATTCGTTTCACCTGTATACACATATTAGACGAAAATGTTACCGCCATTCATTTAAATTAATTTATTCTCACTTGTTACTCGAGGCCGGTCTCGCAAGAAACTATGAATTCGTTTCCATCAGTCTAAAATATTTTAGTGTATAATTCACAAAAGCGCACGATTATCGATTAAAACTTAAGAGGGATTCTTGCGTAACATCTACAAAAGCCTAAAGATTAATTTATAATTTCATTAAACAGTGTTCAGTAAGAGATTTCAAAAATTGTTAATAACTAATATCGAGCATATGTACATATAACAATCCTACATTATGTCATTAAACTATCTGGTTCAAAACATTGGTAAATAAATAAATACAAAAGTAAGTAATCTTTACAGAAATATTTTTACAAAACTATTGATAATATGGAAATAAATTTTCCTGGGTTCTATAGATGAATCAATAATCTACAAGCAATCATTTTTTTCAGTTGTATTTGTTTATTTATTGAACAGCGTACAATCATGTCGGCTTGTTACAAATTATACCAATTTACAAAAAGGAACATAAAAAATTGAATGGATACTGATGCTTAAAAAAAAGAATAAGCTCGTTCATATTAAACAAGATTTACTTTATTTTGTTAAAGAAGAATGCTAATGTTATTGGTATAATATTTGAACAATGTTATAATGAATCGAATGAGCTGTGCTTGCAATTGATCGAGTTTTCAAGTTATTGCTCGCTCAAAATAAGAAGATGTAGTTTCGAGAAAAGTGCATTTAAAGTTTTTAATGAGTTATCGAAATTGGCGAACATTCTATATCGTCATCCAATCACAAGGTTCATTGACTTCGTTAAACATTGCAGTAGTCAGATAAAATTTAGTTTTATCAGTCTTAGAACCACAATGAAGATGGTTTTGTGCTATGTGCCAAACAGTTCCGTTAAAACTGTCACTACAACTTTGTTTGACAACCTTTTTAAATTGGTAACGAGTCGCAGCCTGATATATTGTGAAAAGAACTTAAAAGAGACAAAAGCACTCTTGCACTCGAAATCGTAATAGCTCTAAATCCAAAATAGTTTATCTGACCTACAGTATTTTCATTTTACATGACTCGATGCATTTTATGTATGTGAAATTGAATCTTGTGACACATACAGCAGTTGCACTTTCGACAGATTTTTTAAAATATAAATATTTTCATATTTAAACATAATATTTTTTTGTTTTAAAGTTGCTGAGACTATAAAGACATTATAACAAAAATGGCGAGAGGTTTAAATAAATACAATTCTTTCGTCGTTATTAAGCAACACACATTAGTTACTTTTAGGTTTCGATAGGTTTAGTGTTAATTCATACAATAAAAGAGATTAATCTCTTTTTTTCTTCACGCGAAAATATCCTTAACCTCCAGAAGGATATCCTCCTTTTCTCCAAAAAGAACAAGAATAATTGAGCTACATGTCGTGTGAAACAAAATCTAGTTCTTAAAAAAATGCAACAAGAATTGTTATTTTAATAAAAATCACTCCCTTTTCAGAGCTGCGTATTATCATTCCTTTTACATTATTTGAAATAGCATGTAGGTTCATACGACGCCTAGTTCTATCGTGAAAAATATTTATTATTTCAGTCGATAAAATGTAACGAAAAAACTGTATGTATTAAAAAAAAATTGCCGAAAATCATCAATATTTTAACTGTTTATTTGAGGCTTCCCTTCTAGTCACCTCTCTCTAACAATTTGCCACTTTCAAACAACCTAGAACTAATTCACCGAAAACTATTGTAACTTAGAAAGAGAATGTAATCACGAAAAATGATGTGCGTGTCTACTGACTGTATGGAATCGGTCCGTAAACTGAAGGAAGCGTGGTTCCGGTCCCGGAAGCTCCGCTGATCGAATTCACCTGATCGGACAAAGCCCCGGCGAGCTCAGCTGGCCGTGGATCGACGATCGAATTTTTCGAGTTGTACACGAGCTGAGGTGATTGCAGTTCCTTCACTGTGGACCAAACGTCCCCTTTTCCATTTTGATACTTCACGGAAGCTTCCTCTCGAAAAGAGTTGGTTGAATTCTCTTTACAGTCGTCTTCGTCCGAGCAATCTTCCCTGATTACGGTCTGCAAACCGTTCAGAGGGCGATCGTAATCCCGAATCAAGGATACGTTGACGTTTTCCAGCGCTTGCAGCTCCTCAAACTCCTCGTTCACCTTGGACAGGTCCAGAGGAGCCGGGATCTTCGTAATCTTCACTCTCCGCAGGCTCATATTCTGTGAGAGACTCGGCAGATCAGCCTGGGACGCGAAACGACCATGATTTTCTCTCAATTTCTCGGTGAAATCCATGTTGCGTTTAAACGTCGTAACTTTACCCTCAATGGGACGAGCATTTTGTAGAAAAGATAGATTTGGTAGCGACTTGCACAGACTCTGTTGATAGTAACTCTTATTTTCCTTCTCTCGTGAACCTGCATCGAAGACGAGGCTCTTCGGTTTCGAGATTTCGGACTCGTACTTTCCGTACAATTTGTTTGTTGCTTCGATATCGGAAATATTGCGAGATGTCTTAGCTGAGACATTCTTGGCATCTGCGATATTCCCCGATACTTGTCGATTGGAAAATCGATGAACTGAGTGAATTCGGCTCGGCGTGTCATTGTCAACAAGGTTTCTACGTTCTTTCGGTTTCGCGTTCTCTGGAGTTGCTTCCGCGACTCCTCGTGGCTGTAAATCCGTCCCTGAGACAATAGCATTGTCTGGGCTTAGACAGCTCTTAGGAACGTCGCGAAAGCTCGACAAAGTAGTCTTCGAATAATCTCTGAGGGAGTTTTCTTCTTCCAGCTCCGGCGTGATGTTCACTCGACTTCGGGGCTTCCTGTCTATGCTACTGATTGACGACTGGTTGCTCTGACTAGTCAACGTCTCTGTGCTACCAAATCCGTTGTATTTCTTCCGGATCTCGAAGTCTTTCGGATAGTCATTTGCGTAGTTGGAGAAGAACTGTCTTCTGAGGTAACGATTCCGCTCGAAGATCTCGTGGAGTCTCTCTCGGGTGCCTTTGTAAGTAGAGCTCGAGAGTTTCTCCTCGTTCGATGATCTGCCCTGGTCTCGCTGGCATTCTTCGGAGAAGCTGTACGGCTTCTGCGTGTTCTCCTCAAACTGGTTTTGGTATTCGTCGAAGAAGTAGCTTCTCTCGAATTCGGTTTTCGGCTTCCAGTTCCAGCGGTCCGGCGACGGTTGACGATGATTCTCGAAGTCGTTGATCCAGACAGACGTCGCCTTCTGCACCTGTGGCACCGAATGTCTCTCGTAGTTTTGGTACTTCGGCAATGGTTTCTTGGAATGTCGGTGGTTGTTCAGACGACACATCTTCTCAAGGTCGTTGATCTCGTCGGCCAGACTCGTCCACTCGGGACTCTTTTCGAGATCCTGGACGCGTGATAGATTTTTGGTCGACATTTTCACTGGGTGTCTTTCATCGTTCAATTCAGAATTTCCATTGTTTCATTGGAAGCACTGTTACGAAGGTAAATGCATGGAGTGGAACGACATTGACTGTGGCAAGTTTTTCCATTGTCTTTATAAACACAATCTATTGTGCCGATCGAAATGATCATTTCCACACTCGTTTACTTTAAAATTCTTGAAATTATGAACATTATAATAAAAATAGCATAATAACGAAGCCTAACAAACG